TTTATCAAATAATATGTTAAAGACAATATATATTATCAAATAATATGTTAAAAGACAATATAAATAACTATTTTTTGTTAATAAAATTAAAAAACAACTTCAATAATATTTGGTAATTGGAGGTAATCTATAAGTAATCATATTTACCTTGTTTTGTAATCAGCAAAAAGTTACTATAAAAAAGTTTTCAAAAAAAATCCAAAATATAACAAATAATTACTCTAAACACTTGTTTATTATTCCATGCATTTTAATTTAGTTATTAATATGTAATCAAATTTTTTTATATGACACATTTTGTAATTACTGGTTTTCAACATTTTATTAGTAGATCGTTTTATCACATGACCACATAATTTTGCAAAGAGCGATAATACAAAATGTTTAAATAACACACTAGAATGTTGCATTCTAGTATGTTAGTACTGTTTGAACAATACTATAAACTGGTATTCATATAGTTTTGTAGAACATTTTTATTTAATTCCTGATATATGTCATTATAATTAAAAGAAAGTATTTCAAATCACATGCAATATATAAATCTGAAATAATTATCAATAGTTATTACATATATAACTTTTTTTTATTAATTAAATATTAAAAATGATGTTAAGAAATCTTAAAGACAAAATAAGTTGCATATTATATAAAAAGGATAAATTTATATCATTAAAATTGAGAGAAATATTTGTAGTTAAGAATTGAATGAATAAAAATATTTTAAAATAAAAATAATTTGCTTAATTTTGATGAAATAGGTCTGCACTTCTTAAAAAAATATAATTAATGTTTATCTTTGAGATTACATAATACTGTTTTTAAAATTCACATATAATATAAAAAGTTTAATATATAGTAAAAATTGACAATTTTATATAATTGTGCTATAATTTATAATTATTATAATTATGTTGTGGTATCATAAAACTAAATAAAATCACAAGAGATAATATGAAATGATATGTATCACTATTTAGATGAATTATTCTAGTACTTCATCCTTCATTCAATATAATTGTTAATTCATCTTCTATAATTATAGATAATAAAGGTTAAAAGTAAATAAAGTGTAAGATATAAAATAGCTATAGAAAAGAAAGAAAAACAAAAGATTCCTTTTGGGCCTTGAAAATAAAATAAAGCAATTTCTTTTTTACTTTTTTTTATTTCTTTTATATTTGTAATAATTTTAATAGTAATAAATAATTTAGCGTCGTGGAATAACAAAAGTGATAAAATACTGTTACAAATATACAAAGTATTTTTAACACTTTCACTTAGCTAATTATTCCTTCAATAATTGATTCTTTATCCTTTCCTCTTGATTTCAACATTGATGTAACTTTATAAACTAATGAATAAGGTATAAATCCCTTAATTAATTTATGCAATGTAATTTGAGGTGAGCTCATTTCATCTGTGTCCCCCCACCAATGCCATAATTTACTGAGAGATCTAAGTTCTCTTTGTATTTTATCTTTATTAAACTCTTCTGTTAGTCTCTTGATTTTTTAGTCAAGCAATCTATTAGTTATTTATAATGTTCTTTCATTGGAGTGCATGTATTATCTTCATTGTTGTTTCTTTTACATTCAAACACATGTATATCAGTTTTCTCATATTTTTCACTTAGTATATATTTTGGATTATTATATATGTGAGGTTGGTGCTTGAATCTTTGAAGCATTACTGGTAATTCTCCATTAAAGAGTTCTATTGCAAAGCTTCTTTTAAACCTGGTCTTCTTTACTTGAATTATGTCTGTTATTTTACTAGGGTGCAATGATTTAAATGTGGTTCCAATTAATTTTTTGTGTTTTTTTCATTATTTAGAATTCTTTGAAATCTTTTTTGCAATTTCCATCTTTGCCTATGGTGATCTAGTTAATTTTTTGTGTTTTTTTATCATCCAAGATTTTTTGAAACTTTTTTTGCGGTTTCCAACATTGTCTGTGTCTTATTGTATTTATTTTTTTTAAGGCCTGCTTTATAGGAATCTCTATGGGTATTTCTTCCCATGTTGGAATAAATGATTTGTTTCCAATATTATAGTAATTAATTTTGATTACATAATCTTCTTTTATTGTTTTTTTCTATAACTTGTGCTAGTTGGTTTGTCATTTCATTAAAATAGTCTCATTCATGTGCTTTTACCTTATGTGACTTAATTTGTAGTTTCCTTTATCTATAATTTCTTTTATAGTCTGAAGTATAATAGGATTTTTACATTATTCCATATATAATTTATTTTTTCTTTATTGACTTTGTTTATATTATCTATAGCACACTTTCTATCTATATATATATATTTACCTGAGAACTTTTTTGGCATTACAGTTAGTACTGTTAGTATTATCATTAATTCTGCTCTAGTTGATAATGGGAATTGTTCTAAGTTACTTTGGAATGTCATATTATTATTTGATTCTTGATCTGGAATCACCCATTCCAGGCCATAAACTTGCACAATTACTATTATTGTTTATTATATTGTTATTTATATCAATATGAAAATTTGACATTTGATTACTAATATCATTATTAATTTCATTAATTATAATATTATCATCATTTTTTTTGTTTTTTCAGTATTTTTAATATTTTTTTTTGATTTTTTATTATTTTCTGAAATATCATTTAATGTGTTATTATTTAAATGTTCATTATTTATATTAATTATATAATCATTTTTTAATGAAGTTTGTTCACTTTATGTTATATTATTATTATTATTTTTTGTGTTGTTATAATTATCTGCATATTTAAATTATTAAGATTGTTGGTTCTCTTGACTGTAAGTAGCCTTTGTTTGTTCTCTATGTTTTGACAAAATAGATAATTGTTCCATTCTACTTAATCTTTCTTGTGTTTTATCATTGGATTTTTTCAATTCTGGTATTAATTCTGCTAATATTTTAACTGTGTTTTCTATTTGTTCCATTTGTGTTTCTTGCAATTTCTTTGTTTTTTCTGTGAACTTTTTCTTACCATTCTCTGTTGTATCTTTTTCTTCTTCCTCATTCTCAATCATATGATCTACTTTTTTTTCCAAATTATATCCAGTATATTTCTCCAAATATTGTACTCTTTCATAACATTTTTTGTTTGTTTTAATTTCTACTATATCTTGTTTAATAGTTTCAAGCATATTCATTATATTTTTAAGTGGATCCTCTTGGTTGCTTATAAACCAGTATTTCTTCTAATTGTAGCTACATTTCTTTTAACTGCATCTGAATATTCAGTTCTCATACCTACTTAATTTCTCAAGTTTTGGTATAAAAATGATCTAGTGGTCTTATACATGTATCCATATTTCTCAAAATCTTTTGTCTTTCTTTCATTTATTTTTTTTTGTCTTTTTGCAATTGGACAATTCAATACCAAATGCTCTTCTGCATGACATCTATGACATGTCTTTGTTTTTA